TGCTTTCGTCAGCTTTGCTTCCCACTCGGGACTTGCTGTCTCGATTCGAGAGTGTAAGTCTGGTGAAGTGTGCCTCGGCGTCCCACAGAACCGCGATCTTTGTTGACTGTGCGCTTCTTGAGCGCATGGCGATTAAATACGTCTCAGACTTCGCGCGATTGTCGACAAGGCGAGAGTGCATGTACAGCTCGAGAGAAAAAAAAACATCCGGGAGGCCTGCGTACCTGCACATGATTAGGAACGCAGCCACACACGATGGCGAAAAGGCCTCATCATCACCATGCCGGCCACCTCTTGGCTTTTTTTCTTCCCCAGTAACTCACGCATTCACTGCAACGCTGTGGGAAACCCCCCCAAAGCCACTAGAGAGATCTCTTCTCCATCGACTTGCCAAGTACGCGACCGTGTTATACGCAGGGATATATCAAAGTCGCACACTCATACTCCACCAAAAGGCTTGCGGCTAGGTTTGGCGAACGCGTTCACCCGCCTATGCAACGGGGACGGGGTGCCTGACGATCTCAAAGTCTGGCGGAAAGAGTGTCTCCGCCCCATCCAAACCCTTTCCCAGAGAATCGACCTCTTGACGTCCTCACTTCTATGGGTGCTCCTCACGTATCAAGAAACAGGTCAACAATATTAACAAGTCGTATGCATTGTTTTACTTTTGGATTACATCCTACCTCCCACTACCCACCACTCACTATACTACGACATATACCATCATCACCTCCCACATGTCTTGGCACTCCGGCCTCAACACTCCCCCGACAGCCACCCACATCTCTCCTTCAAAACATATCTGTACAATGGGGGAAAGAAAGAACACGCGCTATGTGAAAGATGTCTAACTCCGCAGAGCCACCCAAGCGCCAGGCTTGAAGAAGGAAGCATTTGCAGAAGTCGTATGGGTACATATTGTTCGGTCGTGTTTGTGTGTGTGAAAAAGTATTGTTTGTACAAAGCGATCGCCTCTCGGCTCCCGTCTCTTTCTCGCTCTCTCTCTTTGTGTCAAAGCGTGTGTATGTGATATGACCTTTGGTATTACAACCCGCTCCCAGCCTCCCACTGCCCTTCCTCCCTTCCACCTCGTTCGAATCCTGTTAATCCGCGCCATGCTTGGGTATGAAAACAAAGAAAAATTGCCTCTTGTGTGTGTTGTGTCCGGGTCACGTCTGTTGGGCGAAGCTACTACGCGTTCGGCCCCAAATCCGGCCGCCGGGGTACCTCCCCGTCCGGCATCATCATGGTAAACTGGGGTTCAGGCGGCATGCCGTTTTGGCCTGTCCCGGCCGGTAAGCCCGGCACGGGCGGGATGTCTTCGTCCGTCTCCGGCCTGGCTTGTGCTCTTTTGACGCGGCCGGTCTGTTGGTTGACCCAGCTGTCGACCGTCCTGAACCTCGCTGGAAGGTCCTCGCTGGCCTCTGTGTATACTGTTTCACGGTTCGTCTTGCTCATCCATGAGAAGCGACCGACGCCGTTCTGACTGGCTCTCAGTGACTGTGACACTGGGGGAGGCGGCTGGAGCACCATGCCAGGCATTCCGGGTACAATAATGTCACCATCACCGAAGCCAGAAGAGATGGACGAAAGCTCGCTAGCCCGATTGACTTGACGCCTAGCCGGGTCATAGGCATCCGAGGGCTGGCGGGCGAGCTCAGACTGGTTAAAGTACGCACCGGCGCCCACGCCTGACCTTAATGTCAGGTTGGGATCTGTCGGGCTGCCGTACTGTCCGATAATGTGAGTAAGGGACCCACTAGGCGCGTGGCTGATGTATGTCCCGGTTTGGCTGTCATACGTGCCGACTTGGCTCGTGTAAGCGCTCTGTTGATTGCTGAACGGGTTTTGTTGACTGTTGTATGTGCCTTGCCCACTGACATTGTTCATCCTCATGGGGATGGTGCCTGTAGGACTCTGGTGAATGGGGCTGCCGTGATTATCAGCTGGCGACATTGTGTAGTTGGCAGGATATGTGCCGTTGGTAACGTAGGGAGCGGGTTTGCCGTCGGGGCCATAGAACCCCGTGTCCAGGCGTAGTGTTCCTCGCTGTCCCTTCTCGTACTGAGGTGGTTCGCTTCGTCGTCCATCGAGGTTTTCCCATCCGCTAGATCCCTTGAAGAAGGGAATCTTTGAGCCAATGCCACCTGGCCTGTCGCCTTGGTAGCCAGACTCCCTTTCCCTTCTCATACGCCCCGCCCTCTTCATTGTCCTCCACACAATCCACACAAGGAACGACGCGAAGATGAATGATCCTGCATCATGTCAGTGTCTGTGAGGGTATATTCCAGTCTCTGATGCTTACCTATTGAGCCAACAGCAATGAGGGCATGCTCTGTCTCGGGGTTCATTCTTGGCGGTCTGCCATCATCCTTGCTGGAACCACCACTGGCCAAGCCTGGCAACGCTGAAATGGTCTCGGCTGGAAGTACCGCTGAGGCGAGAGTGGCTGTGATGGTAGGCGTTGAGTGCTTCTCTCCATCGATACCCTTCCTCGGGGCTGAGGGATCAACCGATGGCAAAGGGGGCAGGGCAAGGGGCCCACTGGGCGCGATGACTGCAGGCGGGACTGTAGGAGTGGGAGTAATTACTGGAGGAGGCGGTGGTGACGGAGTGAACTTGGGCTTCTTGGGCTGTTCTATATCAGTCATGTTCAACGATACTTCCTGAATTCATATAACTCACCGAATCCGGTTGCTTCATGGTTGAGATGAGGGTGACGGTTCGAGGAGGCGCCGTAACAGTCATGGTAGCTGGCGGCGCTGCTGGGGGTTCGGGTTCAGGCGGAGGTGGTGGTGGTGGGTCAGGCTCAGCCGGAGCGAGAACTGGTGCTGGTGCGGGCTCTTCAGGCGGTGGTGGCGGCGGGGTGGGAGGACGCTCCGGTGCCTCGACGGGAATCTCGGGATGAGCGATGAAAGTCTCTTGCGGTTGTGCGTAAGTCTCTTGAGGTTGTTCAATATAGACTGGAACCTGTACAGCTGGGGGTTTCGATGTAGCAGCGGGTGTCGTTCTCACGGGGGTCGGTTGCACAGCCGGTGCGGCAACGACCGCCGGAGGAGGACGAATCGATGCGGGCGGCGGACGGAGGGTTGCCAAAGGCAACTTTCCTGATGCCACATTGTTGGACGGCCTCACAGCTTTTGGGGTGTCCGGGCTTGAAGGAGGCTGTTGTTGTTGTTGGGGAGGAGGGTTCTTGAGCTGGTTTTTCCGCGCCTTATCGTCGCTGTCGCTGTCTGAGCGACGGTCTACTGCCGAATCCGCATACCTGCGTCCAGCATTGATGGCCCGTTTCCATACGCCTCCTGCGGCGTTTCTCACTTGGTTGGCGTACTCATCGTCAGACTCGGCATCGCGATCCCAAAGCAAAGGCGGTACGGCGATGTTGGCGGGTGGTGCACGTCTCTTGGAGGGCTTCTGGGCCCGTGGCACTGCGTGAGGAGCCATTCCCTCCTCTCCTGTCATCCTATCCTATCCTATCCGTTCCGGACCGATGATAGTCGCCAAGGTTTTCCTCTTGTCAATCACTTCCGACCATGGCCCTTGGTTGATACTATTCGAGATCGAGTTGTAACCGGCAGAATCGGTGTTGGAAGGATACTCGATCGGTTTGCGAAGAGCGGATGAGAGAAGGCAAAAGAATACAAACACACGAATGAATAGACGTCAGTGCCAGCAAAGGGGTCTAAAGAAAAGAATTGAAATGAAAAATAAGGCCGGCCTTGGTATGGAAGAATGGAAAAAAGTGGTGAACACCAAACAACTGGCGGAGATGTCAGGCACTAGAGGGAGAAGAGGGAGAAGGGAGGGAAGAAGAGAAGCCAGCCGAGCGAGAGGCGACAGTATGTATCAGATTGGGTCGATCATCTATCCATCATTCGCGGGGAGACCCATGCTGCATGACAGATGCCCCCCCCGAGATGCTTCAGGGATAGATCCAGACACCCACGACACCCCATGCGGGCACCAGCACTGACTAGGACTGGCGCAGGAACTGGCACGCGAAAGCCGATGGGTGCGGCGCACTAGTGGGTGGTCCGTGGATCGAGCTGTCGTCGAGTATGTCAGCGGTCAGTCGCGCGGGTTTGACTTTTTTGTCATGCCAGTGCCACAGGGACAGACAAGACGACTTCAGACTCTTGTTAGGCTAGCACTACTAGGTGGTAGTAGAACGTCAGGCCGGCAGAATTGGTCATGGCCGCAGGTCCTATTGCGTACGTTGGCTGCGTATATTGGTGATGCCATCTTCTTCGTCCCTTTCTCTGAATATCCGAACGTCAAGCACAGGCGTTCTGCTTGGACTGACGTGCAGGGCCGAACACGATTGCGTCGCATCAGCAGCATCAGTGGCATCAGCAACAGGTTCCAGCCACCGCCGACTTTCCGAGTACAGACCACCTTGGACAAGTACCCGTACAGAGCAGAAGATTCGCATCGAGAGTCTGTCCAAAGACAGGTGCGGCAACCCGGCGAGGGCGAACGAGGTCGAGGAAGGTCCACCCCTCTACTACTCGTAGGCTCCCGGCGTACGGCTACGCAGAACGGAGCATGGTCTGGTCTCTTCTTCCCGTATCCATTCCCCTGGCGTCTGGTCCGTACGAATGCCCCGTACTGTAGACCAGACTCAGACACAGACGCGGTGGCCAGTCCAGTATCCATTCGTGTGCCTCTATACAACGTAGACAACAGGGACCCTGGCCGGCACAGGCAGGCAAGGCATGGATGGTGGAAGGTGTCTGGAATGGACTGTTCGCCCATCGAGTCGATCCAGTGGGCAGAGAGAGCAGACGAGATGCGCCGAAGCTTGTTAGGTGTCAATCATTGCCAGAGCAGGCCATTGATGCTCCGGCGGTAGGAGAAGTTGGGTCGGAGGGGGTTGAAGCCTGAAGGAGAACACGGACGCTCTGCCAGGGGACGGTAGGAGAAGTCTAGAGACGAGACTTGAGATGGGGGGAGAGGGACCAGCTTCTTCATCGGTACGTCTCGTCGTCTCTGCTTCATCCTCAAGAGCTGTGGGTAATAAACTGGCCGTCGGCGAACGAGAGTCGAGAGAAGTTGGTCAAGGTGTGGGCATCAAGGGGAGAGAAGAACAGGGATGACACACACCTACAGTAGTGTCTGCAGCATGACCGTGGTGAAGATCGTAGCCGGGGTCTAGTGAACGGCATCCAAGTTGGTAATGTACGATACGGAGCATGTACTGTGAGCCTGTGAGGTGCGTGTGAGGTGTTGTAGACGTGAGACAGCTGTAGAAAGGTCAACCAGTCCGCCGTCGAAGCTGTAGTTTCGAAGAGCCGAATTGGGACGGTACTGGAATGTCGAGTCGCTACCATCCCACGGCGAGACACACGCGGGGGATCTGTTAGCGCGAGACGTATCCTCCGGTCGGGACCCGGCATTTGAGGGGTCTATTGGGACCTTTGGGGGGAGGACTCAAGGAGGAGGGGGACAACAGAGCGCGCTGAAGGTCTGCAAGTTCTACGAAAATCTGCGACGACACTTGCAGGGGACCATGCGTCTCAGCGTGGGAAAGAGCGGGTTTCAGGACAAGGGAGGGCCCGGTGCGGACCGGGAAAGCCTTCAGGGAGTCTTTCTCCCGAGTTTCCCCCCCCTCCCTTTCCCCTTCCAGGCCCCCCCCTTCTCTAGACTCTTCCCCTTCCCATCTTCCCCGTTTTTGATCCAAGGCTGGGCAAGACTACCTACCTTGGGTATGAGCTAGGCTAGTCGAACCTTTCAGGCCTAGCCCCTCTCACTGGGTCACTCAATCAAGATGGTGGCTGGCACTGGCTCGCGGGAGAGTGCCCGACGCACTGATGTGTAACATCCAAACGGCGCTGAAGCGGGATGGATCATTTTCATTCAATGACGGATGCCAGAATTTGCTTAGCCCACCGCGCCGGCCGACGAATGACAGCCTCTAGAGCGGGAATCCGAACCAGCGACGGGCTTTGATTCTTCGAGCCCGGATTCCTCGCACTGCGCTGGTTGATCTATACGCCGCTGTTTTGGCGTCCTCCGGCCTCCGAGTCTGGAAGTACTGTACGACCATGCAATCTTGTATCCACATTCCACACACCAACGTCCCAGGAAAGCCCACTTACACTCGAGCTGACCAGGGCTCTCGGGGAGGATCACTGGTGAGGCCGGCCGGCGATGAGGATGTATAGGAAGAGGCAGAGGCAGAACGGAGTACGGACAAACAACACCTTGTTGTCGTCGTTCCATCATCATCATCATCAACACCCGTTGCTCGCCCAGGAAAGGAGTTCAGGAGCTCGAACTGAAAGTCTGAAATGGCCGTTGTTACCGAATTTGCCGCCTTGCCGGAAGCTGGGTTCGACAGTTTGCATCATCGTCAAAAAGTCACGTTTGAAATACTTTACCTAATTCCCTCAGCCCCTTCTTGAACCTATTCCCCTTCCCTCCCCTTTCAGAGAAGGGTGACGGAAGTCTACTGACCAAGAACCCTGTCCTCTGGAAAACCCTGAGACTCGGCCGTTGAACCGCGCGATCATCATCCGGAAGTGGCGTTCACCTCGCACAAGCTTCGCCCAGGATCATCGATGAGGCTCTACCTACCTACTTCGTGCCGTTGGTTCATGCTCTGCCTACCTGGCCTAGCTGCATGGAAGAAAGGGATGCGAAAATGCCCCCAATAGTTAACTCTACTACTGCTATATCAGCTTTGGGCCCCCCCCCCTCCCCTTGTCGTTCCCTCACCTGCCAGATCTGGCTAACGGAAACGCATTTCTCTGGGCAAAACGCCCAGCGAACTAGTCTCGGCTTCTTTGCCAATGAAAATCTGTAAGGGGGTGGAATAAACGAGACAGCTATTGAACAAAAGCTAACTCTTTTCCAGGAACCAAAGAGCCTCATAAAACTATCCTATTGATAATTCCCCAACCCCGCTTCGATTTGTTGCTTTCAACATTCCTCCTCTCCCCTCCCCGTGAGGCTAATTCTCTACGAGTCAATCAACTACCTGCGTAGGGTTGCCCGCTCGCCTCGTTCCGTTCGTTCGTGCTGCCCCTGGGCAACAAGAGTAAGGTAATCAACTAGCGTGCAACTCTGTTAGTGGCTCGTCGCTCTTTTTCTGCCCCAATTCAATATTTGCTCCAAGCCGGGCACTTTGCTATTGGCCCCGGAGCCATGCTATAGCCTCATCTCACGGCCGCACGGCCGAACCCTCGAAACCTGAACTTCCCTTCCCCTCGTCACACACGCACACCTACACACCTACACACCATCACACACCTCTTTACATCCCGTCGTGCTGCGCCCTTTTTTGCCGTGACGAGCCGGTTCCCACCTGTCTCCAGGACCCCTCGTCGCCCCGTGTTTGGCTGCTTCTTCGCCTCAAAAGTCTTTTCATCTCAACCTTTTTTGCCTCTGTCTCTTTCTTTCGTTACTTCGTACCTTGCCAACGCGCCCAAAACCTGCAACAACCTTCGCAAGACTTGTCACAGAAAAATCCAACAGGGCAATTAAGCTCCCATCTTGGCATCTGGAAACTTGTCGACCGGGGGGG